TTCCACTGTAATCTTTTATTTATAGGTTCTAATTGATTATTAAATGTTAAAGAAAAAACTATACATTGAAATGAAGAATTAGAAAAGTTATACAGTAAAACCCGGTGGTACATTATTAAAAATTCATTATATGCATAACCAAATTACAGTAGTTATCTCATACTATTAAAAGGATAATGTCACAAACTTCATGTCTAAGGCTACAAATTAATAGCTAACACCACAAGCTTATTGGATGAGGTTGTACGCTTTGTTAGGGCAAGTATGCTTGAATGAACAATGACGCAACCTCTCCTCAGTATTTATGTATTTACATTAACTTTGGTTGTTCATGTCTACTTTATTGAGTTAAAATAAGCCCTAAAATATTATTTTGAATAATACCACTAAGCCCAAGAGATATTTTTAGTGCTTTGTTCTATCGTCAATCTTTATATTTTAGTTTTATAATTGTGATAAATGTAAATCATCCTTAGTTTATTCTTCTCTTTTGCTTCAAAGATTCTTGCTCTCGTAGCCTTTCATAGAATGATTTTTCATTTTTTTAGTTTTTTATATTAGCTTCTCGTCAAGGTTTAAACTAATACTTTGTTCAAATTCAAGTTAAAGCCATCTTTTAATAAGAAATAACATTTAATCCCACTTCTTAAAGACATTTTATAGCTAAACTTTTTTTATTTATTTAAGTGCCTTTAAGACTTTTATGCAATATAATTGAATAATAAAGTATTTGAATTTAATTTTGGGGGTCACCATATAAAGGTTTATAAAGAATGGATGAGATAAGAGGGCAATTGCAACAATTTATTGTTCATAAAAGGGTCACATACATGATTGTAACTACTATTACAAGAATTTCTTTGGCATGATGTATAAAACTTTAGAAATAATTAAATTTTTAAAATGCATAAAAAAATTATTAATGAATATAATCATTATTTGCAAAGTATTACTAAAATTTTCAAAATTCAAAATTTTTAATTCGTAATAAATTAAATAAATCAAATAAAATTTTCATGAAATATTTTATTATATTATGTTATACCGCGGGTGTAACCTGAATGAAACTTCGATTTAACGTCGTCGCTGCGGAAGGAGATTTATACTATTGTTGTAACTCGATTATAACCGCCGTATAACTGACTTTCAAGCCCGTATAGCGGTACAACGCTTGTAACCGCAGATTAGAGATTGTACCCTTCTTGTAATTGCCATGTAACAGACGATTAAGCCCGTTCAATTGGAACCGCGCGTGTACCCTGAATGTAACTGCGTTGTACATGATTTAAATCGGTGAGCGCAAAGCATGATATTTAAGCAGCTAGGTTGCCTCCTCGCATTCGGGTTTCTGAGCCTCTCCGAAGTCCGCGACTTTGGCCTCTACCAAATTAGTCTTCGTGGTCTCGGCGACGACCTCTTCCATTTTAGTGTTCCTTCGCCTAAGCAATCCACACTCTATTGCGAAAGGAAGACGATGAAGGAAAACCCTAGCACGCGCAAAAGCCTGTTTTCGAAAATGAAAAGTCAATGTCTTGGTTTCTACCTTTTACCAAGGTTATTAAACACGATTTTTGGAGGTTAAAAAAAGGTTTCAATTCGTAATTAAGAGGTTACAAGAGGATTATAACCGTAGTTCCGCGTTATATAAAAGTTTACGCGCTGTATAGATTAAAGGTTATAACCGGGTTACAAAAAAATTACTGTCGCGTTGCATGTCTTTACCGCGGAAGGTATAGCTTGGGTATAGCGCGGTTACAAGCGCGTTACATAAGTCTTAACCGCGGAAGGTCTGCCTTATGTATAGCGCAGTTGCAAGCGCATTACATGGGAGTTTACCGCATAAGATATAGCTTGGGTATAGTCCAGTTACAAGCGCATTACATGGGAGTTTACCACGAAAGGTACAGGGTTAGTATAGTGCGGTTACAATCGCGTTAATGCAGGCCGACCGCAAGATTTATAAGAAGGGTATATCGGAGTTACAGATCGGGTTACAAACGCGTTACATCACGGGCCAGGTTACGGGTCACGCGCGGAATTATTTCGATTTATTTTATTAATTTAATGCAATGAGCCCGCCACAAATTACGTGGCATCTTCCGATTGGATATCGCACGCATCGTTGCGTACATAAGACGCACGCAAATTTTTTCCTCAGAAAAGACCAGATCTACCTTGAAGCTTGTGTGGGTTGGCTCCATCTCCCGCACTTTCTCTGCTTCTAGATGTTAAGACTTATGCGAGACTTCTTGTGTGGGATTTGATGTTTTGTTAGAACTAATCTTAATCATTTCTTATTCTAATTAGAATAATTATATATAATATATATATCCCTAAATATTATTTAAAGTCTGTGAAAGTCTTATAATAAGTCTTATGGTTAAAGTATATATTTAAAGTCCGTCAACAATACCTTTAAAGTCCGTCAAAGTCACAAATCAAAATCTTGTCCTAAATTATATTTGGCCAACTTGAGGAGAGAAAGAGCAATTATTGCGTGCGGACCCCGCATGCATCTCTGCATGCGGTGTCCGATCCTGGCCGTAGATCACGGTGATCTACGACCAAAATTATTTCTATTTTTTAAAATTTTAGGTGGGGCCCACCGAAATACATCCGGACCATAGATCAGGTGATTTACGGTTCGGATCGGACACCGCCCGCAAGCTGTGTGCGGTGCCCGATCCGTATGAAATAATTTTTCCAACTTGAGACCTTAAAAATTTGTAAAAAAAATACTATATTTTTAACCATTTGTTCCGTGTCTACTACACTCAACTAAATCCCATTTTTACTTTATAGTGCGAACCTACTCTTAATTGATCCCAATCACATGTAAAATAAACCATATTATTCCTCAAAACCTATTAAAGCTTATATACACCTTCCAAACACCCTTTAAGAGCCTCAGAAGCCTAATTAAGCCATCAATCAAGAGTTTAAGCCTGGGCTACATCATATTCCTATGAATGGATAAAGTATTGTCATTTTATAAAGATAGAATATATTTTTCTTCGACATAAATTACTCTCCATCATGTAAAGAGTTCAATGCGCTTTTTACATGTTTTTATTTGTTTTCCAAAAAGTGAATTAACATATTATTTAACATACTTAAAATAACTTTTAGTTGTTTTGAGTATTTACAAAAATCATACTTTAATCAAATAGTCAAATATATTTTGTTCAAATCAAAATATAAAAAAATAAAATAAAAAAACTAAATTGAAAATTAAGACATAAAAGTGAGCTCTAGGGCTTATTTGTCATAACATTTACATTTTTTTTATTTTTTTGTTTTTATTTTTTACTTTTATTTTAAAAATATGTTTGCTTTGTTATTTTTTTATATATTCTTCTTTTTAATTTTAAAAACAAGCTAGTTTATTTTTAAACATTCAAATCATCTAAAAATTATTTAGAATGTTTTTAAAAACAAATAAATATATTATATTATTTCAACTATATATTTTATTTTAAATCAAGACATAAACAAAACCAAAAAAAAAAAAAATCAAAAGTGATATCAAACGACGCCTGCCCTTTGGGATCACTTTTATATTTTATTTTCTATTTATTTATTTATTTTGTTTTGTTTGTGCTACAATTTGAAACAAAATATGTTTGGTATTTTTGACTAAAATATTATTGGTTTTAAAATCATTCAAACCACCTAAATGGTATTTTAAGTATTTTCAAAAATAAATTTATTATTTTTAGAAAGAATTAATAATATGTAAAAATCGTACAAAACAAACATATTTTTATAAACAAAAGTAAAAAAAATTTGAAAAAAAAACAAACAAAACTGTTCCCAAACAAGCCCCAAGGATCTTTTTTTTTTTTTTTGGTTACCATTTTTGTTTTTTTTTTATTTTGACTTTTTTATTTGTTTTTATTTTAAAAAATATAATTGTTTGGTGCATTTTTCAAGTATTTTTTTTTATTTTTTTTATTTTTTAAAAATAAATAAACTTATTTTTAAAAACACTCAAAATATTATTTCAATGTTTTGAGTGTTTTTAAGTAATAACCAACACTAACAAACATATTTTAAAAAGAACTTTATTTTTTTACTTATAAGCTTTGAGCCCTAAAGAAATGGACCTAAGAGAACTTAGCCTTCAAGTGCTTCCTCTAATCTAGTAAACTATTCATTGATCCTCATATGATGAGCTGCCCAAGATGTCCTTCCACATTTGATTTCAAGTGTGAAATGCTGACTCAAGGAACAGAAACAGACATAATTTTCTAAAGTTAATTTAACTTGTGTTGCTGCCATTATTATCTTAAAGAACTAAGGAATCCCAATATATCTTTTAAATGGGCACAATATTGATTAAAGAGGGTGGTTAATTTATATCACGTCATGAATATCAGTATTTTAACTTTTAAAAAGTGAAATACAACTTTCATGTATAGGTATAGGTAAAGTGGGTATATGTAGAAATAAGAGTTTAGGTGTTAATTAGACATGTAAATACATAAAAATTGAGAGGTATGTGTGTAAATCTTCTAAAGTTATTTCAAGATGATTTCAACATATACAAAATGAATCAATTTTTACATTGCATCAAAATCAAAGTAAACTCAACTACATCATATCTCATCTAAATCAAAGTTTAATCAGAATATCCCGTCCAAATTTTTTTTCTAGACACAGAAACTCGACCGAAAAAATGCCGAAACCAACATCAACCAAAAACATAGAGGCTATTCATCTTTTTTCATTATAGTGGCTCTCACCCAACATCCAAAATCCTCCCACTTCCAAACCTTTCCTCAAGAAGAATCTCTCCCAAGAAACCATGGCCTCCCAAAATGAATTGAGATGCTCAATTACAGTAGTACAAGAGCTCCTAATTAAGGATATCTCAGAATGTGCTGTTTTCCAATACCCACAAGAATGATGCTTACAAACCCTCCCCTCCCCACTCCATCTCACCATGTATATAAACTCCCCCACCTCTCCCCCTCCCTCCCACACCTAAACAGAGGGAATATAGACCAAATTACAGTAAAAATATTGCTTTCTGAGAGAAAAAAGTAGACATGGTGAAGTTCTCCAAGCAGTTTAAAGCCCAGCTTGTCCCCGAGTGGAAGGATGCTTTTGTAGACTACTGGCAGCTAAAAAAGGACCTCAAGAAAATGCAAATCCATTGCTTCAACCAGAATTTAGTGAACAAATCACCAGAGGAAAATCTTCCACAAAGACTCCTATTATCACCAGTAAAGAAACTATCATTATTCAGCAGTGGTTGGGGTCACAAGAATGAAACTATTCAGGCATTGTTCTGCTCAGTCTTTTCGCTCAGTCTTTTCGCGCTATGATTCTAAAAAAGTTTTATGATTTGTTCTAATAAATATATAGTTTTGGCTTGCTCAGGTTCACCGGAAGCTTATGAGCACCGCGAGCAATGGTGATTTATATGAGACTGAGCTACTGGATCAATTTGAAGAGACAAATGCTGCAAGAGATTTCTTTGCAAGACTTGATCTTCAGCTGAACAAAGTGAACCAATTCTATAAGGCGAAGGAGAAGGAGTTTGTCGAGAGGGGTGAGTCACTGAGAAAGCAAATGGAGATTCTTGTTCATCTCAAGGCTGCAATGAAGAAGCAGAGGGAGCAGGGCTGCTTGAATCCCGACTCGAAGGAAGATCAGTCAATTTCGAGTTCTATTTGTTTCGGTAAGTCGGATTCATCTCCCTTTCTTCATGAAATGTTATTCACATAGTTTGGCCAACGCAGAACAGAAATTGCATGACCACAGAATGCGGAAAGCATGGAACTTGTTGAAAATGGAAAGCATAAAAGTGTGCAAAAGATAAATGAGGAATAAACCAATAGCTCACTTGAAGCTTTAATTATGTTTTATTAATGGATACAGCACTAAAAGATTCTGAAATTAAATCATTTTTAAGGAGAAAAATTGCACGACTTTGTTTAAACATAAGTGCAATAAATGACAAATTAATCAAACTTATATTACATTCATTTTCATATAAATTTGAATAATTTAAAAACTCACCATGACACAAATTGATTTTTTTTTTTTTCTTTCAAATTTCTATTACACGAATTGGCCAAAGTAGGCTTATCCATCATGTTCCAACCCAATATTCACAAATACATGAATTGTTCCATTCTTCTGAACTTCAATCAATCTACATGAAAACATAGCTAAATATGGAACTTATTAGAATTATAGGTGTTTAAATTAGGATAAGCACATAACTGTACTGACATAGGGCTAGCAGAACCAAATGTAAACAATAATGAAGCAGAGTCCATAAAGAACTAATTTATTTACTCACGGCTAAGCCTATTTTTGCTTCAAGGACGGAACTTTTTGTTTAAATGGCAGAATTTTCAATTGATTGTTGGTACTACTTCGACCAAAAAAATTTATGGAAAATGTACTTAAACGTGATGTTTGCACAATTAAGCAGCTAAGAAATACAGTAGAAATAGTTTATTGTGTATTATACATACATACTGAAATAGTTTATTGTGTATTATACATACATACTGAAATTTTCATTGGGATGTTTTGATACGTTTGTATCCAGACGGAGCAATTTTTTAAGTGTCTTTGATTTCATATATCATATTTTTCATACATGGAATGTAATTTTAGTAGCAGCAGCTCTATTGACAGAGTTATAACTATGGGTGCTCGAATTATTAAAAGATGTGACCCTTTAGATATCTCGGGTTTATTGTTAAATGTGATAGTGATATAGATGGAGATGTTATTAGTAGAATTTAAGTTGAATTGGTTGAAGTTAAGGAATGTTTCGGGTCTGTTATGTGATAGAAAACTACCGCTTACACTGAAAGGAAAATTTTATAAGATGGTGGTGAGAGCCACAATACTCTATGGCGTTGAATGTTGGCCTTTAAAAGAGAAGCATAAAACTAAGTTAAATAAAACTAAGTTAGCATAAAACTAAGTTAAATGTTGCCGAGATGAGAATGCTTAGGTGGATGAGTGATTTTACACTTAGAGACGACTATATCCGTGATAAGGCTGGTGTAGCTTCAGTGGCGGATAAAATTAGAGAGAGTCGTCTTAGATGGTTTGGTCACATTAAATGTCGACCATCTGACTATCCAATTAGGAGAGTAGATGTTTTAAATTTGACTTATGTTAAGAAAGGCAGAAGTAAACATAAAAAGACTTGCGCATATTGTATAAGAAAAAAAAAACTTAATTTATTAGAATTAAATGAAAATATGACACTCAATAAGACGCAATGGAGAAAAATGATTCATGTAACCCACCCCACTTAATGGGATAAAGGTTTGTTGTCTTCGTCGTTGTTGTGTGCTTTTCATACTAAAATTTTTATTGAAAAAAAATTACATCAGAATATATTGATATGTTTTGTATCCAGATAGAGCTATTTTTTAATTGTGTCCTTAATTTCATATATCATATGCTCTCCCTCAATTGAATTAAATTATTAGACAATATAATTAACTATTAAGAAAATACAATTAAAGAGGAAAACAAGCTGACCTTGAGCAAGCCCACTAATTTGTCAGCTTCAGCTTGTTCACGCACAAAAAAAAAAACTTAAATTGAGTTGTGTTTGAAATGACCAGCAAATAACATGTTTGTGTTCAGCATGTGTTTGAAATGACCAGCAAATAACATGTTTGTGTTCAGCATGATTCAAATTCATTTATTCTTTACAACTCAAATTTGGCTCGAAATTAGTTCTAATAATTTAAGGAATAATAAAATTTAACATTTTTTAATATAACAAAAAAATTATAATATTATTATTATTTAACTATTTAATTAACTAAAGTCAAAACGAGTGAACATGAATGAATAAAAGTTTGTTCATAATCTGCTCGTTTATAAATCAAGTTCAAGAAAACTATCTTTGTTCGTGTTGGTTGCTCAACGAACGAATCAAACACAAAAACGTGAGCTCTTTTGGCATCCCAAAATACTACAAAGTTATTATATATTTACTAAGTTATTATATATTTTCAGAACTTCTTTGATAATGAATATACTTATAAAAAAATATTGTGAAGATCTAATAGTTTATTTATATTATTTAATAAATTAGTTAACTTATGAAATTAACTAAAGAGTTCTAAAAATGATCTCCTTTTCCATGTTAACAGAGGATGAGTCCATTAAGGACACAACAGATCAGGAACAAACTCAGGAGAGCTTGGCATCAGACTGTGAGAAGAGTGAAGTTCAATTCTGTGATTCTCTCGAGGAGCAAGATGAATCAGGAAATCTGGTGAAAGCCAAAAGAGCAGAAGAAGGTAAGCATACAAGTCTCTCTGGAAGAATCTTCAGCTGCCAGGGAAAGAATCTCAAGATAAACATTCCCCTTACTACTCCCTCCAGAACTATCTCAGCTCTTACCTACTTGGTCTGGGAGGACTTAGTTAACCAATCCAAGAAATGCAGACCGGAGAAAGCGAAGCTCCATATTAACAAGACAAAGCTCCACCGTGCAGAAAAGATGATTCGAGGGGCCTATATCGAACTCTTCAAAGGATTAAGTTATCTCAGGACATATAGGTGCAAATAAAATCCAATAGGTTATTCAAGCTCAATTTCATCATTTTTTGGGGAAGAAGTAAAGGTTTTTCTGTTAATTGTTTCAGGAACCTGAATATGTTGGCTTTTGTGAAGATTTTGAAGAAGTTTGATAAGGTTATTTGGCTATTCTTATTTGGCTATTCAAATATATATAAATATATATATATATATATATAGATATATATATATATATATATTAATCTAGGAAAAGCTACAAGTGTTTATGATAATAATAACTAGTTCGTATTGCAGGCGATGGGAAAGCAAATCCTTCCTATATACCTTAAAGTTGTTGAAAGTTCCTATTTCAACAGTTCAGATAAGGTAATGTCCTGCCTAATATCTCCATTTCTCATTAGGAAACTGGTAAAAATAAGGTTTTTCATAACAGTAACAAAACTATTGAAATCAAGCAGGCTGTTAGATTAATGGATGAGGTCGAGGATCACTTTACCAAACACTTTGCTGATGATGATAAGAGGAAGGCCATAAAATACCTCAAGCCAAACCAGCGAAAGGAATCTCATTCAGTGACTTTTTTCATTGGTAAAAAAGACTTTCTAACTAAGCATAATTAAGCACTATTACTGATAACAAACTAGACTGAAATGGGCATATATGCCACTGGCATGAGATATACCATTTCCTGATGAATGTTCAAAAATAGCTTATTTGGAATGTAATTTAATTTTATTAACAGGACTCTTTACCGGATGCTTCATTGCACTTTTTATCGGATATTGTATCATGGCACATATTGCTGGAATGTACACAAGGCAATCAGACACCATTTACATGGAAACAGTTTATCCAGTTCTAAGGCCAGTCCTGTTAATCTGAAATTTATGAATGATCTTAGTTATCAACCATCACATTTTATATTAAGTTTCTAACTGCCATACATAAATTACAGTATGTTTAGCCTATTTTTCCTGCACCTTTTCCTCTATGGGTGTAACATCTACATGTGGAGAAAGACAAGAATCAACTATAGTTTCATATTTGAGTTCGCCCCCACCAAAGAACTACAATACAGAGATGTTTTCCTGATATGTGCCACCTCAATGACTATAGTGGTGGGAATTATGTTTGCCCATCTATCCTGTACTTTGAAAGGCTATAATTCCACTCAAGTCCAAGCAATCCCTGGAATTTTGCTACTGGTAATCTCTCGCATTTCTACACCACCGCAGCATCTTACATTGTTTAGAAGAATATAGTACAGCATATGCCACATTAAAGAAATCAAATGCTTATTCTCATTACATATTGGAATAGAAATGCCAATTATTCCTGTAACCATGATTGTGAATTTGGGGCATAATAAAATTCTATTTATTTTGATGCAGATGCTTACAGTTGTGCTTGTGTGTCCTTTCAACATTATATATCAATCAAGCCGCTACCACTTTCTTAGAGTTATCAGGAACATTATACTATCTCCTTTTTATAAGGTTGGTTAGACCTGACAACAATATCAAAGCTTAATTCAGAAGACAGGTTGCATAACTAATCAAACCTTTAGTTTTCCTTGAAAATCATTTGCAGGTGGTCATGGTAGATTTCTTCATGGCTGACCAATTATGCAGCCAGGTATTTATCTTTCTCAATTTTACTGAAATTTGTAAATTTCTTCAGGTATTTCAAATAGAGATTGACCAACTGATCACAATACTAAATGGCCATAGGTACCTATGCTGAGGAACCTGGAATATGTAACCTGCTATTATGTCACTGGAAGCTATAAAACACAAGATTATGGATACTGCATGAGTACTACAAATTTCAGAGACTTAGCTTATGTTGTATCCTTCCTTCCCTACTACTGGAGAGCCATGCAGGTTTTTTTTCTAGACAACATAAATCAAGACCACTCAAATAAAAATTAGCTAATCTTTAGGAGACTACACGATTTCGTGGCAGTGTGCGAGGAGATGGTTCGATGAGGGAGAGATAAGCCATCTTGTGAATCTAGGCAAGTATGTGTCTGCAATGCTTGCAGCAGGAGCTAAGGTAGCCTATGAGAAGGAGAAAACTATAGAGTGGTTATCTCTTGTTGTCCTGATGTCAAGCACAGCAACTGTGTACCAATTGTACTGGGATTTTGTAAAGGATTGGGGACTGTTGCAACCAAAATCAGAAAATCCATGGCTTAGGAATGAGCTAATTCTTCGTCGCAAGTTCATATATTTCTTATCGATGGTATGTAGTCTGCTAAACCAAATGCAAAACAGAGCCAATACTCTGTTGAGCATCATATTAAAATCTAGGAAAATTTACATACATACCACACAATTCTTAGGTATTTACATATCAAATACCCAAAGTTCGATATTTATACTTATAACACCTTGGTATCATAACCTATGCATGAAAAGTGTATTTCACTTTTTAAAAGGTAGTGAAGGTGGTATTTTTGATGTGATGTAAGGAATTTGAGTGGTTTGCAAGTTAATATGAATGTTTAAGTGTTAGATCTGTAAATACAAGAGAATTGTGTGGCAAGTATGCAAATGCCCCTAAAATCAAATTATGAAAAAGTTCAAGAAGTTGAGCAGATGATTAATTTTTCAGAATCTCCAGCATGGTAGATTCAACTTCTTATCACAACATGAAAATTTCAAAAGTGTGAATATATTAAAACAGATGGTGCACAAACTTCAATTGGTGGTAAGAGTAGGTTTTCTTTGTGAATTTTCAGGGACTTAACTTTATACTGAGGTTAGCATGGATACAATCAGTTCTGCATTCGAACATTGCTAATTTGGATTATAGAGTGACTTCCTTCCTCCTGGCAGCTCTAGAAGTGATTCGCCGTGGACATTGGAATTTCTATAGGTAAACTGTGATACAGAGAACTAAGTTCAACTACTAGAAAAAAACTGTTTATTCCTTTTTTATCTGCTTTTTTCTTATAATAAGAAAGGTAGAAGTACTCATGACAATCTAATTTCCAGGTTGGAGAATGAACACCTTACCAATGCTGGCAAGTTTCGAGCCGTGAAAACTGTGCCTTTACCATTCCATGAAGTAGACCTGGATTGACACATTCGATGAAGGAAGAGCACTCTTGTAGTTTACCAGCCATCAATAATTAAATCTGGCATGGTACACTTCAAAAAAAAAAAACAAAAAACAAAACCCCGACACTTGTGACAAGAAAACCAATTCCTTTCATAATTGAATTTTTATTGGATCAAGTAACATATTTTATCATAGTTGATTCTAAGAAATGGAAACTATTACACAATGATTAATTCAAGGTCCTTACTGAGAAGGTTTTCCTTGTAAAACAACTGCTATGGATTTTTGCCTACATCTTCAGACATTTTAAGTTGGAAGCTTCGTCTACTAGTTAAAGAAAATGGTGATACAAAACTTAGAGCTGAGAATTTAGCTCAAAGTTCATTAATCTCTCAAAAATCAATTCAAATTTTCGCCCGGATCAAGATCAAATCAAAGTAAACGAGTAAAGCATTGAGCCTAAACTATGGATCAAATTTCTTTCGAGCCAATTTCAAGCCATACACGGATCAAATTGAATTGGCTCGAGCACGGCTCAAACTTGTAAAATCTGTGTAATTTATTTCTATTCAATCATTTTAAGCTCCATAAATCAAAAAGTGTCAGTTTGTTTTGATATTCAAGCTACAACGGATCCAAGAAACTCAACTTGAGCCAGTTTGTTTGGATTTCAAGATGGAGCGAGCTCGATTCAAGTATGAGCCAAGCTGGCTCGAAATCAAATAAAATAAACAGCAAACCTAACAAGAAAACCAAGTCCTTTCATAATTGAATTTTTTATTGGATCAAGTAACAAAATATATTTTATCACAGTTGATTTTAAGAAATGGAAATTATTACAAAATGATTAATTCATGGTCCTTATTGAGAAGGTTTTCCTTGTATAAAACTACTATGAATTTTTGCCTCCATCTCTAGAAATTTGCTTCATCTACTATACAAAAATGGTGATACCAAGCTTAAGCTGAGATCGAGATCAGATCAAAGAAAACGAGTCGAGCTATGAGCTGAAACCATGGATAGAATTTATTTCAAGTCGATTTCATACATGGATCAGCTTGAATTAGCTCAAGATTAGCTCGATTTATTTTTTTTAATTTAGAAAAATTTTGCATATATATAATATAATGCTAAATAAAATTTTATAATCCACAAGTTGCAGAATTTTTGTGTGATTTATTTATTTCAATTCATTCATTTTAAGTTCCATTAATCGAAGCGAGCCAACTTGTTTTCATTTTCAAGCTGGAATGGATCCAAATAGCACAACTTGAGCCAGCTCAATTCGATTTCAAGGCGGATGAGCTCGATTCGAGTTTAATACAAGCTATGGCTAAAAATAATAAAAAAAAGAGTCACAAGCAGATTTCAAGCCATATTCATGTCACCACAAGGCCCGGGCTTGGAATTAACCAAGGCGGGCACAGGTGGTCCGACAATGGGAATCAAGTTTTCTATATGCATTTTCTAAAACAGTACAATTAAATTTACTTCATTACAGGTTGTTCGCGTCTTTTATAAATATTTTTTTTTTATTACTCATCTTTTAATCAATTAATTACACTTAAAAAGTTAGTTTAAAATAACAGTGAGCTAACCAAAACTAGAAAATACACACGCTCTTAAACTACAATAATACAAGAAAAAAGAAAAAAAATATGCATGTTAATTAAGCTTTTAATAAATCAATATAAAACATTTAATAGTTTATGAATATGAATACTTACGATATTTCATATTATTCAATGAGATATATTATATAAATATCATATATATATCATTCTATGTCTGTATAACTATCATAGAAACACATTCTAAAAATTATATCAATTAAGGTATCTCAACATCAATAATTTGTATTTACATGTGCGGGTACATTAGCATTCACCTGCTAGCACCTTAAATGTGTGACTCTAACATAGTCAAGCATATACATTCAAACATATTTATATATATATAATTAAATCAATATCATTCATATGTTTATCTTATGACATACAATATAATATATGTATCTTTAAATGACATTATATAATTTTTACTAACAGAAGACCTAACGTTCATGACCTATAAAAATGAGAGCATATAAATTAGGATAAACTGATAAATGAATTTATATGTATGACTAGCTATTAATGTAATTGATTGAGAGGAAACCAAATACTACTATAAATCTAAGAATAAAAGTACTCACCTCAATTATGATTTATTTATTCTTCAATTTGTCTAAATCTCGGCTTTTCTGAAATTAATGGCTATAACAAACATGACATTCATATAACTAAAATTAAATTTATTCATATTATCTTAACAAATTATTAACATTATGTTATTTAAGTACTAATTTTCATCATTTTTTTATGAAATTCTAATTAACTTCATCTTGCTATTCATTATATATATATATATATTTAAAATTGATTAAGTATATTATAATATAAACCCAATATTACCTTACAGAATTTTACTCGGGTCAATCTCCCTCCTTTAGTTTGCGCACTTCTCCTATTTTTATTTCCTCCAAGCTAAAATTGTAAAATAAGAGTCATAATTTAATAAAATTTTGTATTAAAATTACAAAAAACACGTGCACAAACAAACAAGCACACAGATCTATTCTATTGGAGCTGCACTAGGGAGACTTATGAAATTAGACGTACCCACCTTCAACCTATCCAAGCATTCAGTTCCAAGGATTCTTGTTGAAAGGGATATCACCCTCCTTGGTGTAGAAGAAATATGGCTTGGTACTGCCCACAATGGGTATTGACAGTCAATTGTCGCAAAACAAAGGTCCTACTACTGTAATCACTGTAAATTGTTTGGGCACACACATGTCAAATGCTTTAGGCTTCATCCACATTTGAGATCCAACATTCCCGTGCATTTGGATTCTGCAGTTCCTAACAACATAATCCAAGTTGAGGAAAATATAGTAGAATCTGAATAACTTTCAGAAATGTTGAATGAAAATTTGTCTTATCAGACTATTCCTCACCAACCAGTTCATCAGCTACTTCCCATTGTTGTTGAGGCAGTTCTTCCTCAGATCATAAATACTAAGAATTTGGTTGTAGCAGATATTGGCCGAAGTGTTTTGGAACCACCTATTGCGAAAGAAGAGGGTACTCAAGTCTTGAAGGCGCGTCATAATCAAGGTGTGTTGCAGGCTGAGACTGCTCAGCAATTTACAGATTAACATACTCATGAATGACAAGTTTATAAATCTAGGAAGAAGAAAAAAGAAATGTTAGAACTCAGGAATTTTCAGAATGACTGTTTGATAGTTTCGGGTGGAAGTCTACATCTCAGTTTGTTGTTGGACTCCCTCTTAGAACCAGGGGGAGGGACGTGGTAAACCCACTCGCCATGATTAAGAGTATTTCCTAATTTTTTGGGTATACGAGTATTTTAAAGTCTTTTTTCGAGTGAGATGTATTCCCTATGAGTGGGCTCTTAGTGCCCACTCACTAAAACCTTTATATATTTAAAAGGGAAAAAAATACAAATAGGTTGTATGAGTGGGCCCAAAAGTAGACACCCAACCCATATGGTACAACACACTAACTCCAAAAAAGAAAAGATGCATATAAGATAAAAAAACAAAAACCACCAAGGCGCGGAAAAAATTAAGGACGACCCAATTTAGTCTTGTCTCTACCTCTAGTTCTCGGAAGTGAGCCAATTAACAAATTAGTGAGGTGTGTACCATTACCCGAAGTAACCAAAATATCATCCATTAGATTCATAAGCTCAAGTAGGTCCATTCTTCTTCTTTCTCCTACATGTGTAAACCTGTCATTCCTCATCCAAAGATTGACCATTCGGATTAGGTGGTAGAACTGTAGTAGAAAGATTGTCAACTGTTGCAACCACAATAGGTTCTAGTGTATGTGAAGTATGAGTTGACGCCTCTGCACCGGAGACTTCCTGAAGATGCGGAGCTGCGAGACTCTCCTGACATTGGTTCGAACACTATCCTTTGTAGGTAAAGATCCTTCAATATTATTTTCAATAAGATTTGAAGGTGTAGGTTGCCTAGCAGGGCCATTCGACATCACATTAATCGCAAAAATAGAAATAGTATTGTCAGTGGGGAGGGGTCTACAGGGGCAATTAAATAAGACATTAATTACTGTATTGTGGTAATTTCCTCCACAGGTGGAGCAGATGTCCAGAGCAGTGGGGTTAAACCCATCCTTATTCACATGAGCTTTAGATTTCAAATTAGGATGAAACCTGTGAAATTTATCAAGGGAATGTTCAAATATCTTACAGTGGGTACAATAAAAAGGTCTATGTTTCATGACAGTTTGTTGTCAATATCCATTACGAGTTGTGCCCAGTCAGACTTCAGTAATATCAAGTAAAGTAATATTCATTTCCACAAGTAATTCTAGCTACGAAAGGCTTGGTTAGATTAAAGGTGGGTAGATCTAGCTTCATAGGGTCTCAAACTATGACCACAATAGAGTAAAAAACCTGATGATTAAAAAAGTGCAGCTTTAGACCAGGTAAATTAAATCATACTGGTACAGTGGAGGTTCAAGATCTGATCAAAGTCAGGAGACCACTTGAGTAACTTTATTGACTTGCCTGCAATGTTAAGATATTTTTTTGAAGAAAATCTCAACGTAATCTTCAGTCACGGTTAACTGAATCAACACGTCTCACATCAAAGAGTTTCACTTTCCACTTATCTGCTAGTTTGAGATCGTCAAAACTCTTTCTGATAACTTCCATAGGTGGGTGCCCCCACTGAAATTTTTCAATAAGAGCGAAATTAAATTTCTCAATCAGGGTTGAAATTTCTAATTCAAAGAAAAAAGTATTGTTTTCCCACATTTCCTACTTCTCTTCTTAACAAAAGGCCAATCACATGTACGATCACGACAATTCTTATAGCTTGAGAGGAAGACAACTGCCGACTCCACCTAAAGACTACCAACCACGTGGGCAAATGAGGCTTTGTCAGGTTCAACTGAAAAATGAGGCAGCGCCATCAGAGTAGGGAGACCGCCTGCTACGACGTCCCAATATAATCGCGTAAGCTGAGAGAGGCGAAGATGCGAAGATGTGAAAATGTGAAGAGTCGGTGTCGAAACAGAAAGTTGAAAAAGGAGAAACGATCAATAAGTAGGAGGGACGCAAGGGCATGAGTCGACGTGAACACGAGCAAACAAAGCAGAAGATACGAGAAGACGAGAATGGAGAGACGGCGAATCAGAGGCAATGAGGTGTGAGCCCTCTCCTTCGAGCACGATTGAATCACACACGATGGAAATCACCATTCGAAACCCTAGCAAAGCTCTCGACTGCCGACAATATAT